AACTAAATGTTTACAAACAATAACATTAACACCTACTCAATTGCAATTGAGCACCACTCTTCTTTCATTATTTTTTCCCTTTATTGAATGTGGAATGTGGCCACATTCCAATGTGTTTGCCATGATGCATAGTGAAACCTCCAAAATCTGAGTCCTGGGCCCCTCGTGGGTCTTCAAACAGACCCACATATCATATTGAAGTCTGAAGTGTCAGGCGTGGGTGTCCCAGCTCCAGTGTCCTGCTGCCAAGATGATTATGTTATTTGGTAAAATCAGATACTAGCAAGTCAGAGCAGAGATCACTTGTGTTGGTTTACAAACTTGGAAGTTCTGTGGGTGAAATCTGACACTGGCCCCCATACATGGAGGGCAAGGAGAGACCAAAGAAATAGGCAGACTATTCCAGATTGGTAGGCAGCAGTTTTAATAAGCAAGGGAACTTACTTAACACAGCTTGTCTTGGGCAGCTGCAAAACAAGTAGACCTCCATACCTGCCTGCCAGAATCTTAAAAGTTTATGGAGGCCTTAACTGAGTTCAATCACATGTAGCATCCAGATGGTCTCAACAACACATTGCTCTCTCAAGCCTGCAGCATTGAAAATGGCTCCCACTGTGAGAACGGCAGGCAGAATGTACAGTCCAAGGACAGGGGAGGCGGTGAAGGGTCTCTGATTGCCCAGGTCTGGCTCATGGATCAATCAGTGGTCACATACTCACAATTACCTCTTCCAACAATTTGGCGTAGACTCCTCCTGACTCCAGTAAGCCCTGGGGCCCACATGCCACTTAGAATTGCTCATCAACTCCATCTCTTTGGTTTCCTTAACCAGCCATTTAGAATCAGACACTCCAAGAGGCAGAACTGGCTCAAGTAAGGCCAAGTCAGACAAAGCTCAAGACCTTTTTTACAATGCTTGTGAAATGGCAGACGGGGGAAGGATCTAAGTTATCCCTGGATAAAGAAGGAGGCCTGTAACCCTGGATGCTGCTGGAAGATAACCTGAGGCTGAAGCCCCTCAGATGGGAGCACATCCAAGAGAATCACAAACAAATGGCCAGAGCCCTGATGGAACCATGCTTGAATTACATCTCCTTTGGATTTCCGTTACATAAGTCAATAAATCCCTTTTGTTGCTTTAAAAATAATTGGCAATATCAAGTGTGTTGGCAAGGACATGGAACAATTGGAACTCACTTCCTGCTAGTGAGAGAATAAAATAAAATAATTACTTTGGAAAATTTATTGCCTTTTTCTAACAAAGTTTTATGTATATACTTACCCTGTGACTCAACCATTCTACCTTTAGTTATTTATCCAAGAAAAATGAACACATATCTGTAAAGGGACTTGTACAATAATTTCCATAAAAGCTTTACTTGTGTAGCCCAAAACTATAAACAGCCCAAATGTCTATCAACTGTTGAAAGGATAAATTACAGTAATTTCATACAATGGAAAAGCAATAAAAAAGAATGAACTACTGATATGCTCAAAAACATGGGAGAATCACAAAGCATTATGATGATCGAAAGAAACTAAGCACAAAATAGTACATACTGTATGATTCTACTTATATGAGACTCTGGAAGAGACAAAATTAAGCTACGATGAAATAAATGTGAGGAGTGGTTGTTTCTGGCTGGGGTAGAAGAATTGATTGGAACAGGGCATGGAGGAAATTTTCTGGAGTGATGAATGCAATTTATGTCTATATTGGGGTCAGTAGACAATATGAGTCATATTTTGTCTAACTGCACTTACATTTTGTGTATTTTATTGTTTAACTATTAAGTCTCAATTAAAAAGTAATAGTCATTACAGGTAAAAAAAATTGTAATTATTTTCTTTTTCTTAACATTACAAAGTAAAACAAACCATCAATTCTGAACTCCATCAGTTTTGTTTCTTTTTAAAATTTTATTTTTCCTTTTTCTCCCCAAATCCCTCTGGTACATAGTTGTGTAAATTTTAGTTGTGGGTCCTTCCAGTTGTGGCATGTGGGATGCCACCTCAGCATGGCCTGATGAGTGGTGCCATGTCAGCGCCCAGGATCCGAAACGGTGAAACCCTAGGCCACCAAAGGAGAGTGCATGAACTTAACCAGTAGGCCACGGGGCCGGCCCCTGAACTCCATCAGTATTTAGTCTCCAAATCCACAGATGCACGTGTCATTTCCTCCTTCATTCCTGTCACTGAAGTGAGCCCCCACACCTGAGCTCCCTGTTGTAGGTGCTCGCACTTTCTCAGGTGTATGACATCATTATTATTGGCTCTCTTTCCTCCATCTTCATTCTCACTCTCCACAGTTCTTACTGTCCTTCCTATTCTGAGAAGAAACAACTCAAATTGTCTATGACTCTCTCTAGTGGTATGCTAGCATATTTATTTTGGAGTTCACTTCCCTAGGTTTTTTTATGTGTATTTTACTTTTCTACTTTTTAATATTAATTTACTTATTTTCTTTAGTACATTGAAAGTCATCAGCTACAGCTTTAACAAAATGCTATCTTCGTTCAGAGCTCTGAACTAATCACTGGAATCACATCAGGAAGGGAAGAAAACTAATAAGATAGAAACGGTATATGAGAATTGTAGCACCATTGATTTCAAAAAAATATGGAAATTGATTTTGACCAAAGGATGATGAGTTTGGATTAAAACAACATTTAGGCTTACGAGACTTGACTGCATTTAGGATAGAAATACACGCTGTACATTTACAAAGTGAGAGTCAGTGGCATAGGGTTAATATTTAAAGCATAAAAGTAACGTTAAGTATAGGCACAATGTTCTACAGCAGAGCTCCACATCATCTTGCATAACTGAAACTTCCTACCATTTGAACAATTCTCCACACACTGTATTGTGCGCTTAAACATTTAAGAGAATAGATTTCATGTTAAGTGTTCTTACCACAATACAAATTTTTTAGTAATAAATAAATAAGAAATGTTAAAAAGAATGGCATTATTGAGATAAATAAAAAATAAGGAAAGAAAGAAAGAAGATTAAAGAGATAGACCACATTGAGATAGAAGAGCATATGGTCAAAGAATGAACCCTGGCTTTTCTGCACTTTTGAAATATTTGATGAGAAATACGTGCTGACACAAAAAGACCAAAATTGTCTGTTCAAGTAATCAGCAATTGTGACTATAAAAGTTTACTTAAACTTAAACTTTTTAACCAGCTAAATCACACTCTCCCTTCTCTTTACTTCATTTATCTATTCCACATTTATCTATCTAGAATTTATCTATTATTTATCTATTTATTTATCTAGAATAATGCCCTACAGTGAATGAAACATCACACTAGGGGCTATGGGGAACTACTACACCCCAGAACAGCATTTCAGGTAGTACCATGTGACTTAAGAAGGAAGATAAAACATTTCCAGTTGGAATAATGAGAGGAGAAAGTAGATTTTGAATGAGACTATAAAAAATGAAGAGCATTTTGATGAAATAATTGTTAGAGTATGAATTCCAAATTAAGAAAATGGCTATAGTGATGGGATGGAGTTAAGACAAAATCAAGCACTATATGGGGAAGGTGTTTTTAGGATTTCTAAAGGAGATAAGATTATGAGACAGGCAGTACTTAGAATATTGAATACACTGATTACAAACAATTATGGGTAGGTGGGAATATGTAAACCAGTGGAGGCCTCTTTAAACATAGGACAGAAGACTGGACACAGCACTATCTTAGGAAAGTTAACCCATAAGTGATGTGCATGGTACATTAGAACAGGACGGAAGTAAGACAAGGCACTCTGTTGGAACACTATGGCAAAAGGACAGAAATGAAAAAAAAATTAAGACTTAAGCTAGAGAGGCCTTTACAGGTCTGAGAAGAAGATCCTGAGAGAGTTGGGAGGAAAGATGCTACACAGCTTGTCTCTTCCATCTGTAAACCTTTTCCTTTTTATCTATCTGTCAATATCTTAGATTATTACGTTGAGTGTTATTTTCCTTTCTTTGCATCTCTAAGCCTCCAGATTTATCTTTCAAATTTTCTCTCCCTTTTCTATATTTCTTTCTCTCTTCTACCACTTTGTCTTCTTGCCCATTTGTTTTATCTTCATATTTGTCCCTTACGTGGTAATAGCATATAGAAAGCAGTAATTTAGTACCTTTGCTTTTATATCTGTAATTCCTACTCTCTTTTCTAAATTTAGTTACCATGTAACAAAGAATTTTTACCCCCCCAAAACTTAATTATTTTTCTGCACATTTTTCTCTGACTCTGTGTGTTTTAAATTTTTAGAAAAAATAGTAATCTGTCACGTGGACTTATTTCTAGAAAAATTCCTTTAGGGCATTCCACCTTTTAGACAGAATAAGAAATATAATTGAGATTGAGAAACTGTCACTCTCTTACTATTCTTTCCAATGTGAAGATAAATTGGCATTGAACCATGCAGCAGGTGACAAAACTAAATCTAATTGCCAACAGATCTGGAGATAAAATATCATTTCATCGTGATTCACATAGCTCTGTCAAAATCAGCATAATGTGAACCTAGCCTATTGGTGATTATGTTCCGTTAAAAGGAAACTAAGAAAGAAAGAAAAGCCAAAAGCATGACTTAAGTAATAAGAGAAATATAACAAACATACATGAGGAGCATGGGGAAAAAGTCTTCCATATTCCTCAACGTATGGGGAGTAATATAAAGAAGGAAGGAAAGTATCAAGAAATTATGTCCATCAAACACATATTGCATGAAACAGGGACATTGTCTTTTGGATGGAGGATTCAGGAACGGACAGTATCAATAAGAAGAACATATCTAAAAAGAGTATCATCAATGTCTTGTGCACAGGACTAACAAAAGCTCAAGGATATGTGCACTAGGGTTGAGTATACCACCTCTTTGATATCTGTCCCAATATTGCAATCAGTTTATAAATTGAGTGCCACAAGAAACAGTTGAGTGATGAAAAAATTAATTTTCTAATATAAGATTACTGACTGCAGATAAGTAAAGGTTACATATTAAAAGAAGGAATTGGTGGCTGCCATTTTCTCCCCACAGCTTTCACAGCTTCTCTGATGTCCTTATTCCTCAAAGTGTAAATTATAGGGTTTAGCATTGGAGTAACGACACTATATAATACTGAGATTAGTCTGTCTTTTTCCAATGAGTAAGCTGAGATTGGCCGTACGTATGTGAAAATGGCGCTGCCATAGTAGAGAAGGACAATGATCAGGTGGGAGGCACATGTAGAAAAGGCTTTGCGTCTCCCCTCCGAGGAGCGGATCCTCAAGATGGCAGAGATTATGTAAAGGTAGGAAAGGACAATACACAGAAAAGGAATCCAACCAATGAAGACTCCAATGGAGAGCAATGCCAGTTCATTGACAGAAGTGTCCCCACAAGACAAGATCAGCAAAGGAGGAATGTCACAGAAGAAATAATTAATCTGGTTGTTTCCACAGAAGGGCAGGCGGAATGTCAGTACTGTGTGCACCACTGAATTGAGGAAACCACCAGTCCAGCAAGAAGCTGCTAACTGGCTATACAGGACCTTGTTCATAATAACTGAATACCTTAAGGGCTTACGGATTGCAATGTAACGATCATACGCCATGGCTGCCAGGAGGAGACATTCTGATCCCACAAAGAAAATGAATGCAAAAAGTTGAGCCACACATCCCCCGAAGGAAATGCTTTTCTTCTTTGATACAAGATGCACCATCATCTGGGGGACATTGGTGGTGGTGTAACAGATGTCAAGAAAGGCCAAATTCCCTAGAAAATAATACATGGGTGTGTGTAAATGTGGATCAGCCATGGTCACCAAAATAACGAATATATTTCCTCCCAAAGTACACAGATAAGTTAAAAAGAAGATGGTGAATAGTAAAAACTGCAATTCACTTAGGTTGGAAAATCCCAAAATGATGAATTCTGACAGAACTGTTTGATTCTTTCCTTCCATGATGTTCCTAGTTTCCTTTTGGAAACTGGGCAAAAAGAAGAACAGATGACAAGAATCATATGCTGCGATAGTGATGGTCTGCAAAACAAGGGAACAAAAGTGTTACAAATAAAAATCATCACCATCTATGTCAGATTCCAACCCAAAGAAGCAGCCTCCCTTCGTATATCAGAGCTCACATCTGTCACCAAACACAGATTAAGTATATCCAATATTTCATTTGTCAATAAAATCTCTAAAATATGCAGCACAGACAGCATTTAATTAGAAAGAAAGCCACAGAAGGGCACCATTCGCTCTAAGAGTCCTGTCTTAATAATGGCTGGGTCAGATCCACCTGCATTTTCTTGGTGAGGTGTGAATGTCTGTTGCAGAATATGGTTTGTAGAAGAATCTTTGGCTTCCTCAGTCCACTGAGTTCACCATTTCAGTTGTCCAGACAAGAGGCAACAGTACTTTAGAATAGAGTAATGAGAATTGGATTAGAAAAAAGTGGAGGCATTTGAGAGATATTAGGAGATATAATCTTTACCATTTTGGTATGAAGTGAGGAGGAGGGATGAATTAAAAATATTAATCATAACTGACATATATTGAATGATTATTATGAAATACCCATTTTACAAGCCTTATTCAATTCTCACACCAAACAAAACCCCAAAAAACAAAAAACTATGAAATAGGTGTATTATGCTCATATTACAAGTAAAAAAAATTTAAATGAATTTCAGAGAAAGTAAATAATTTGTCTAAAATTATACAGAAATGGTGATATCAAGTTTTACATTTCAATTTGTGGCCTTAATAAGTACACTGTGCTGATGTAGATTGCAGGTTTGAATAATTAGATGGTTGATGGAGTCATTGACTAAAATAGGGAAAGCTGGAAGAAATTGATATCCAGGGGGAGATCAAAGGTTCAGTACTGGCCATGTTGAATTTGAGGCGTCTTTGTGATATCCAACAAAATATGTCAAATAAACATTTGGCATTTGGACCTGAAAGGAATGGTATGGACTCAAAAATACAAATTTGTAACATCTGAGAGGAGAGGCATGAACTTGGGATATAAGCTTGTAAAACATCAGCATTTGGAGGGTAATTCATATAGATGGGAGATCACAGAGTAAGAAAGAGGAAGCATGGAATGAAACATTTTCATGACTTCCAGAACTAATTTGCTGGATAGAGAAGCTGGAAAAGAAAACTGAAAAGGGGCAAAATACAAGTAGGAAGGATTCCAGGGAAGCACTGAATCCCAGTGTATGAAAGATAGCGGATAGTACTGTTGTCAGAAGAGCTGTTGTGAATACAAGGGGCCCCAATTTTCTTGCCAGACTGTTCCTCATGAGAAGTTATCCTTCTGAGAACTGACTTCCCATACAAACACAAGTCACTATGAAATGGGATCAGCAGCCCAGTTCTCAAACAGTGAAGGAGGAAACACTTGGTTCAGCAGCCCCTGCCTCCTTTCTCAGTGTCTCACACATTCAGAGAAAGAACCACTTTCTCCCAGGGATTTCCTCATGCTTTTGTTTTGTCGCCTAAGATTCCTCCCAAGTCTTCTCTGCCCCATAATCACTCCTCCTCACTTCAAAACACGCCTTTCCTGTGTTTCCAAATTGTTAGGTAAGCTGTCATGTGGTGACCAATTGAAATAATATAAACAATTGGTAAGTGACTCCTCTGAAGGTTAATAGCCTTGAAATAAAAATACTTTTTTTTTTTTTTTCGGAATATGCCCTTTAGTTTTAGTCTTTCATATCCAGTCAACCTGGATGTCTTTTGTTCTGCCTCCATTACTATCTGCCAATCTTCATTTCTTCAAAGTTCAGCTTTAAATGCCACTTTCCCTTCAATTGAAAAATGATGCCTCTCCCTTCCTGGAAACTCTACATGCCTTAGTTTAGATCACAACTGTGATACTTAACACACAGCATATTTATTTGTGTGATTTATAGCATCTATTTGGCCATAAATCCTTGAGAATACTTAACTTGTCTCAGTAATCTCTTTTTTTTTTTTTCCTGAGGAAGATTGGCCCTGAGCTAACATCTGTTGCCAATCTTCCTCTTTTTTTTCTTCTCCCCAAAGTCCCAGTATATAGTTGCATATCCTAGCTGTAAGTCATTCTAGTTCTTCTATGTGAGATGCTGCCACAGCATGGCTTGATGAGCAGTGTGTAGGTCTCTGCTAGGGATCTGAACTGGTGAACCCTGGGCCACTGAAGTGGAGCACATGAACTTAACCACTTAGCCATGAGGCCGGCTCACTAATCTATTTCTTAATAGATTACCTGGGGATGCAAAGTTTAACATTCAGTAATGGATCACTACTGCTGGAACGTCAGGTACTATAGCAGAACTTCCCAAGAAGAAAACTTGGATTTCTTCCAATCATTACATATCCATAACACTGTAGAACTTAGAAAAAAGTTCACATCTGGCATGTTAATTTTTTCTCATAACCATTATATGAGTTATAGTTAAAGAAACTAAAAGTTACAGAAGATAAGTGACTCATAAGTTCACACAGGTAACAAGTGGTGAAAAAATTCTTCTATCTCCACATCTGGAATGATATCCCCCACATGATACACAAAGTATTCTGCATATGATGGCCACCTCTCACAGACATAGACTGGACCTAGCACACAATAGACTATGGGCCATAATTTGCCATATACAGCACAGCTATTTCACACAGAGGTTCGCATCATAGTAAAATCTCCAAAATGGCTGCAAAGAATCCATAAGAAAAGACTTGCAGAAAATTCATAAGAAAATTTGCTTTCCAAGCTCTTAGTCTTGACTTCTTCACTTCCTTCTAAGGGACCCAATGCTTCTTTATTAAAGAGTGTTCTCAAAAAAGAGACCTTAGAAGGCCAGCCTGGTGGCATAAGTGGTTAAGTTCGCATGCTCTGCTTTGGCGGCCCAGGGTTCACACGTTCGGATCCCGGGTGTGGACCTACACACTACTCATCAAGCCGTGCTGTGCCAGCATCCCACACACAAAATAGAGGAAGATTGGCACAGATGTTAGCTCAGGGCCAAACTTCCTCACCAAAAAATACAATAAAAAGGGAAGATACCTTAGAAAAGCAGACTCTTTAAGTTGCAAGGATCCTCAAAAGTATATTATCCAATTCCTTACTTATAACTATGAAAATCACATAGCAAGCATGTGAAATGAGTGAGCATAGCAAGAGCTCAACAAAAAATAACTAATATACAAATATTGACACAAAAGACTGGTTCTTGTGAGAAAGTCACACAAAAGGTGTTTCTGATACTATTCTCTGCAATCCGATGCCATTTTAGTCTCTTCTCTTTTTTATTGAATAAAGATATTGTCCTTTATTTAATAAAGAACCAGGAAACCAGTAGAGAGCCATTCTGAGTGATACTGAAATTACCCGAAATAACAGAAGTTCTCGGTTTACACATGCTCAGCCTACTCCTGCCACCCAAAGCATGGGACAAACAGTTTGATTACTGCCTCCCTTGGAAATTTTCAGGTCATTACACTCCACTTTCCTGCTCACTTAGTACCACATCCAAAAATCAAGGCATAGAAGAGTATATCTCTAAGAGAAGTGGAGCTTTGGTTAAGCAATTAAAAAATACTTCTTCACTTACCTGGCGTCAAAAATATACCGAAAGAACAGAGACTACCACTCAGACTCTTAGAACCTAATGTGGGACTGCCTTTATGAACACAAGGAAGTGGCAGATAATTGTCCCTGGAGAGTCTATGCTGATAGTTTCTCTGATTGAGGAGTCTTGTACCTGAGTGCCAGGAGTCTCTTCAATCCCTGAAGGTCAGTGCATGGGACTGGAGTAGACAAGATAATGCTCCATGGATGCAGAAGATCCTCACATCTTGTGGGCTTCTTTCAAAAGCCCTGCAGACACACCTCTGGGACTTCTGAGCACAGCTCCTGAGACTTTCTCCTTCTGATTCCTGCCTCAGGCCCTGAGCATCACATTGTCCTCCAGTGGCTCTGTTGCTATCGTAGCTCTGCTTCAGGAAGTCTCATGTGAAATCAAAACTGCTCCAGGTGGACTCCTACCTTTTGGCCCACATCTGACCAATGAGAAACATCTAGCATCCTTTCCCCATCATCAGAGGAAATGTAGTTCTCTAGTTTCTTTCTTTTTTTTTTTTAAAAGATTTGCACCTGAGCTAACAACTGTTGCCAATCTTTTTTTTTTTTTTTTTTGTCTGCTTTATCTTCCCAAATCCCCCCTGGTACATAGTTGTATATCTTAAGTGCAGGCCCTTCTAGTTGTGGCCTGTAGGACGCAGCCTCAACGTGGCCTGACGAGAGGTGCCGTGTCTGCGCCCAGGGTCCGAACCAGCAAAACCCTGGGCCGCTGCAGCGGAGCGCTCGAACTTAACCACTTGGCCACGGGCTGGCCCTCTAGTTCCTTTTTGCTCTTCCACAGCAGTATATATCAGTCTTTTTTTTTAAAGATTTTATCTTTTCCTTTTTCTCCCCAAAGCCCCCCGGTACATAGTTGTATATTCTTCCTTGTGGGTCCTTCTAGTTGTGGTATGTGGGACGCTGCCTCAGCGTGGTTTGATGAGCAGTGCCATGTCCGCGCCCAGGATTCGAACCAACGAAACACTGGGCCGCCTGCAGCGGAGCGCGCGAACTTAACCACTCGGCCACGGGGCCAGCCCCTATATATCAGTCTTTGGACTCTGAAATTCCAAGACTACAATCAGGCTCTCTAACTGGTTCTCTTTTTTTCTCTCTGCCTCAGTTAACAGGAAACACCTTCATTTTCTTCTGGAGTTGGAGGAAGCTTATGTAGCACACTAGTTCTCACCAAAGAAATCCTCTTCAACCACTGAATCAATATTCTAAATACCCACTTCTTTGCAAGTTGTGCATACTTGGTGAACTAGCACCTTGCTAGTAGCCTTTGAAATCTCAGCCAAAAGAGAGACATAACATTTTAACATCCTGTAAGACATGCAATGTATTGATGTGG